GCATATATATATATAAAGTTTGGTGCATTTCTGCCATATGTTGAACCTTGATTTACTGTATTGGAAGTCATCGTCTGAAATATATATATATAATCAAAATGATGTAAGAGCATTTAATGGTTTAGTATTTTGAATATTGTTTATAGAATTTTATACAGTTTATGTTATGATATTTAGTATTATGTTGTGTCATGATGCATTCACTGTGTTGCATATACTTGATGATGTTATGTTATATATTCAATTCTGTGTTTATGTAATTGTGGATTGCAGGTGTTGTTTGCTTGTTATTGCGGGCGGTAGAAATTAAATGGATTATTTAATTTGCTTCGGTGTTTACATATCCAACACCTAAACTTTAATTTATATATAAATATATATATATATACCACCTTATTTATGCAAGAAAAGTTGTATTTCTCATTTTAAAAGTTGAAATAGTGGTTTTTCCTTATTTAATATAAAAAGTTAGGTGGTAGATATGTAAAAACATAAGAATTGGGTGGTTTGAGTGTAAATGCTCCATTTCTTCTGGAAGGCCCCAAGCGAGTTCATGGTTTCCCATTGGGGGTTTCGATTTAAAGAGATTTTGGAACATTGCTGATTTAACTAATAATAAATAAAAGATTCTAAGATCTGAATTAAGATGGTCACGAAGGTGGATTAGCAATTGGGGCATTTACATACAGCAACACAATTCTCATGTACTTTACATAGATTTAACGCTTAAATATCCTTATTTACATATATGAATTTTTTTTTGTTTTGCTTCACATAAAAAAATAGTCATCGTTCTTTTTATATGTGAACTATATCTGTCACTAAGGTTTTACAAGTGTAAAATGCAACTCAAGTTAGTGAATCTTCATCCTTTGCGGAATTGGTGAAGAATGTGTGCAAAATATTTGCGGAAATAAATTTGAGCAGACAATATTAGATTCAAATCAAAATTTACTTCATAAAATTATTTAGGGCAGCTGTAGCTTATTAAAAATAATCTATTGATAAGTTAGGTGCAGTGGTTATTATAAATTTTAATTTTTTTTTGAAAAAAATCAGATGTGAAAACGTTGTTTTTTGCGTTTTAAAAATGCTTAAGCTGCCAAAACACAGTTTACCCAAATAAATCATGTTCATTTTTAAAATGCCACCAAATTAAATAAACTGCCCCAAACGTGAGCCTTAATCTTTTATATCTATCTATCGATCGATGTATGGTACTTTCAAAATTAACAAAAATCCTGTTTCATTGAATTTTAAAAACAAAAGAAAAATAATGTATTTTTAATTAACAAAAATTTTATATTTTATTTCATATTACTATTGATTTTTAATTAACAAATAAAACTAATAATCTGTTCATCCTTAAAAATTAAAAACAAAATTGCGTTGAGCTTTAAATTTACCATTTTTTTTCTAATAATAAGTTCAATCCATCGATCATTATTAGAAAAAAATTGTATCAGTCGCATTAAAAATATTTGAAGGTTAGGTGTTAAATATGCAAATACATAATAATTGATTGGTATGCTTGTAAAACTCAGTTTTTTATGAATGGTATATATGTCCTATATATATATAATCACCAATTATTAATTGCTAATTCTAATTTTAATGGAACATAACATCTTAAATCAGACAACACAAATCTTAAATAAATAAATAAAATAAAATAAAAAGCTATTACATGCAATTTCATAAAATTTGAGTACAATAAGGGCATAAACATTCTCAAGACAGATCAATAAAAACTCCTATTTTATATATCTTACCATTTAAACTTTAGAACTAAAATGATTTAAGAGATAACCACACATTTAGTGCTGTCTAACTTTTTTTAACGAACTAATTAGTGCCTCAAAGCTAATGCAGTCCTGTAATCAGCTTAATTAACAAACATTTTAGCTCCCTTACTCTAAATTTCTTTCAACATTAAATGAAAATACTAACTAATCCATTAGCTGCTTCAATTTTCTTCAAAATCAAATGGTGAAAATGTGGAAAAAAAAAATCTCTGCAATTTACTAAGCTTTTAAATATATGAATAGATTAGAATGTTCCACCAAGTAGAAGCTCAGCTCAGTGTTTTCTCATCTAGAAGCAATGAAAGAATACCTGTTCCATACTTGGCTTCCAAAGATCACAACAGAATTCTGATCCATTAGAAGAAATGGATAAACAGAACATCATTTGGCTCCGCCGCATCCAAGCCCTAATGTAAGCTCCAGATCCTCCTCTTCCTCCATTCCGACATCATGAATCCTCTCCCCTTCCCATGGCTTCACCCTCCCACTCTCGAATTCGAAGTCAGATCCAATTCTCCCCCCTCTTTCAACCATTCCGACCCCATTCGGAGAAGGTTCTGGCAACGCCGCACCAGGGTTAACCAAATTGAATGTCGGAGATGCCGGAGCGGTGTTCTGAAAGCTGACCCACCTGGTGGAATCAATCGTCGAGCCATCAGACTCGTCACACTCCGGTATTGTCGCAGGGTGCAGCTGGTGGCGGCCGCGGGTTGGGCTGGCTGGGGCTGAAACAGCGAACAAAGGATGACGATAAGATGTGGCGGCGTCATAGTCCCAATTGGGCTTTTTAAGCTTCAACGGCCTAGAAGAGGTTGGGGAAGACGGGGGAGGAGTCACCGGAGCGCTGTTGGAGATACGAAGAGGAGGGAGAGACGAAAGGTTACGAAGAAAGGGGAGGATGTAGGAAGGATTGACAGTAGGGTTGTTGTGATTATCGAGTCTTGTGGGACTTGGGAAGGAGGAAGACGACGGGCTCGCCTGATAAGAAGGGACAGGGCTGGGGAAGGAGGAGGATGGAGGGCTAAGCTGGTGGGATGAAGAGCATGCTCTTATATTAGAAGATGGAGCTCCTATTGCTGTATCTGGTTGTGGAAGAGGCAACTTGTATCCCTGCCAATAACAGAAATTTATGTTTCAGGTTTTGATTTCTGAAAAATTTCATGAATCTTGAATTATCTGAACCTATAAGAAATTAGAATATAAGTGCATTTATATGAAACACTATAGTTGTGAATAGTAAGAAATAGCTTCTAGATTTAAAAATTATATAGGTTTTGAATTTTTTTCAGTTTCAGAATGACTATAATTTGTTTCACTTTCTGCTGCCTCACTGGCTCTCTCTTTCCCTTTTCTATTGATCTAAAGCTGGCTGACTATAAAGCAACAGATGCTTCACAAAATTCAGGTCTAAAACAATCATTTTGCTATGAGTGCAGATCAATAAAAGCAAGAAAAAATAAAAAAGAAGAAAGCAAAAAACAGAAGGATTTATGAGCTGAAAATTTAAGTAAAGGATTGTGGTCAAAAGAGCAGGAGATGCAAAAGCTCTCTTTGCATTCACAAAGATCACAACTTTGTCAAAGAAACCGAAATTATGATAACAAAGATCTTAACTTTCTCAAAATAAAAACCAAAATCATGATAAAAAATTGGAATTTAGAAGAAAACCTAAAAAAAAACTGAAATTTTAACCAACAAAACGAGGAAAAAACACTAATAAACCTCCACATATCCCAGATCGGAAAAAAAAAACTGCCATAACACATTCCCAAACCCAAACCCTAGAAGACGAAACCAGTCATCAAAGGACTAAATTAAAAAAAAAAAAATCAAACCTTGCGATAAGTTGTACCGTCGTCCTCAACGACCCAACCAGCCTCTGCACAGAGAGCTTTAAGGACCTCGTTGTTATCGCAGTGCTTGGGGAGCTTGTAGTTGCCGAGAGTTCTCAAGCCAGTAAAAATTTTAGCAGCAATAGCTCTTCTCCTCCTCTCTCTCCTCTTGTTGTTCTCCCTCTCCTTCCATGTCGGCATCCTTCCCCCTCCAGAAGTCATCTCTCTCTCTCTCTCTCTCTCTCTCTCTCTCTCTTCTGAGAAAGCAGCGGAGGAAGAGGGGAAGAGGGGGTCACGAGTAGGAGTGTGATAGATTCTCCTGCTTCTCTCTCCCTCCCTTCTTTTGAGGAGAGAGAAAGGAGGGAAATTGGCGTGAAGGAGCTCCTCCCGTCCTGTTTTCCCTTTCCCTCCGAGTAAATGTTTTCTCTCTCTAGATTGGGCTGCAAGAGCTCTGTTTTGTCGGAAATGACAGTTGCACCAATGTGGGGAAAGGGTATTAACATGAAGGGGGGGAGATAATTAATGGTGTAATTAGCGATTAATTACTCTAATTAACGCTAAACAAAGTAGCTTAGGCTTTGTTGACTAGGGTAGCTATTTGGTTGATTGGTTTAGTACAGGCAAGAGAAGATTTACTGTGCTTGGCACGTGCTGCGGGTAATATATATTATTGGAACTTGGTTTTAATTGTGGATAATTATAATTTATAATTTGGTTTATTTATGATAATTCAAGTTTAATATGGAAATTATTTTTTTTTCTTTTTGGGAAATAAATAAATGCACAGGAAATTTATTTTGAGTAAATTTGAGAAAAAAATGTTAAATTATAAAAAAGTATGTATTTTTTAAATTTACGATAATATTTTCACTACCACTTATTTAAAAATGTGATTTATTAGCAATTGCATTCTTTTATATGATTGAGGCACTATTTTGTAACTTTAATTTTTCTTATTTATTTAAATTATATAATTAAAATTTAATATTTTTCTACTACATTAGTCATGCATGGTTAATCGGATCTTCCAAAGTGTATTATCCTTTTAAAAATATGAATTTAATTAGGGCTCTTAAATAGCTCGTGTTCGGCTCATTCGCTAAGTTAACAAGCCGAATACTTATAAATCTTTGTAGTCTTGTAGTAAATTTATTTTCTTAAAATTACTACTCATCTATATATATATATATTTGACGAGTAGTATTTTTAAAAAATTTAATTGACTACAAGGCTACAAAGATTTATAATCAATTAAAAGTATTAATTAAGAAAATAGAATAAAAATTATTAAACTAGATTTAAATGATGTTTTAAATCTTACACTAATTTTTAATATATGATGGCTATGTGATTAGAGTTGTCAAAAGAACTCTTTGTTCGTGATGAATGGCTCGTGTTCGGCTCGCTAAGCAAACGAGTCGAACACGAACACACTTTTTGAGCTCGAAATATAAATAAGCCGAACACGAGCAGAGACTGGGCTCGCTCATTTACACCCCCTAAAGTTAATGATATTTTTGGTATACGATTAGGGCATTTTACTTTTTGATGTATTTGAAGCATGTTTATCCAATCTTTATTTTGCACTAATTATTGTTTTTTGTATTTCCTTTAATTTAAAAACACAAGATATATAGTCCAAAAAAACCAGTTGCTTTCATCAAATTTTAATTCTACCATTGACTTGACCGCCATTATTTTCTAACCAATTAAAATCTAATCCTTCTTTAATTATGGAATTTTTTTTAAAATAATTAGAAAAATGTGCCATTTATACTTATTTATATTCTTTTTTAAGTACCGTAAACATTAAATACATGCACATACGGTACTAAACATTAGCTGTGAAAGACCTTCATGGCAAACAACAGTACAGATGTGAAACCATTTTTGAACCCTAATAATTCAATTAACTTTAATTAATTAACTCCTAATCTTAAAGATTATGAAATTATATTAAAATTCCTGTGTAATTACCTATCTAACACGCCCTCTTATATTTGTACATACATGTCACCTTACCTATTCATGAAAATGTATGTGATATGAAAGATTCAGATGGTATAAATATAAAAAAATAAATTTAGGTGTTAAATATGTAAATATATAGGTATTGGGTGGTATGTAGGTATCTTCCACATAATAATTTAAGAAAATAATCAATTTAAAATTTTAATTAAACAAGTCTTCATACACAATCATGACTTGATATGAAGTAGTTCGGCACTACGTGTAATCATATAGCATGTCATTTCATTAATATAATAAGCCATAATTGAATTTATTATTTTGTAATTGATAAAAAAATTATAAATTGTAATATACTCATTTAATTATTTATGTTTTGTCTCAAAAAAAGATTTAATTTCTTAATTTCTTTTATTTAATTATGTATGTTTTATCTTAAAAAATAAATTTATTTTTTTTTTTTAAGAAGAATCAAAGAAACACCAAAAATATGCAAAACAACAACACACACATCAAGATCAGGGGTAACATGTCAGATATGCAATAAGGGAGGTCACTCGGCCAGTCAATATTTGCACAGAACAAATCGACAATATAAAACTGAGCCACAGCTCATCTCGCACACAACACTAAGCATTTACAATCTTCTTAGCCATCTAAGAGTTCGGAACATGTCATAGCAAGTAGTGGACAAGACTTAGAAATAACACATGTAGGTAATGAAAAACTACTTATTCCTGATCGTAATTACAGCACCAAGAAAGTACTTATAGTCAGTCAAGTTGATCAAGGGCTTTACCCCCACAACAATTTCTCATTCTACTATAAGGTCAAACATTTGGCATCAAAGACTTGGACACCCGCACAATAAAGTTTTGTCTATGCTTTCACATGCTTACCCTCACCTTCATATCTCTTCATGTATTTCTAAATGTTCCAAGTTTTACAAAAATAAAACTAAAAAATTACCTTTTAGTAATAGTAATGCTACATATCAAAAATTAGAAAAGATAGTCTTAGATAATTGCGGGCCTTTTCATTATTCTTCTATAGACGATACAAATATTAAGTCATATTAATAAATGCTTTTTTTCTCGTTACTATTGGTGTATTCCTTTATGTCATAAATCTGAAACTACTTCACAATTTATATATTTGCACAAAATGATACAAACAAACTTACACAAACATAAAATATTTTCACTCTGGCGGAGGAGAATATATGTCAAATGAGCTCAAAACATATATATGCAAGATAACGGCATTCAACACTAATTATTGAAAGAAAACATTGTCACATCATAGAAACAACTGAAATTCTCTTAAAACTCCTCTAAATTACCCATAAATCTTTGGACAGGGCTATCCTCACTGCGGCGGCTATCCTCACTGCGGCGTACCTTATCAATCGTCTAACGTCTAGTAATACTAAAAACAAATATCTGTATCAACTCTTATATCAATAGCCACTTGAATATCAACACTTGAGAATCTTTGGTTGCCTTCGTTACCCTTGTAACATCACAATATGCCACATAAACTCTCCCAAAGCTCCCAAATGCACATTCGCGGGCTATTATACACAGCACAAATGTTACAAATGCTTTGATATTCAGGAAAAAAATTTATTTTCTCATGTCATGTAAAATTTATTGAAACTATTTTTCTTGGTGAATGTCTTTAGCCCAATCACAACTTTCAGTTCAACCCATAAATTACCCACCAACCTTCTTCATTCCTATCTTTACTATTTCACATACTCAGTCAATTCTCACCCATTCTCCCCTGTTATTAGTCATTGATCTGCCTCAACGATTATCACAATTTATATAAATTCTGGTAAAGGCACCAGAAACTCAATCTGCTCCCTAGCATATTGATTGAGTTCTTAAAATTAAGTATTATTACTCACTGGAGTTTCTCACACAAGTATTCGTATCGTTTTAATAATATAGAACTCTATTGAGTCTGAAATGTCAATCCCATAGGGAAGGAGAGATAAATAATTCCAAAGGTGAAGTTCTAGACTACTACTTTCAGATCTTGGTTTGAAATATCATTAAGGGTGATTTTTCTAATAACTAATTATAAGTTTCTATACCTATGTTAAACTTTGCCTAGATCAATTAGTTTGGTGAAATTCAGGATTGATAAGAGTAATTTTCTCTTGTGAATTTCTAGGTAGGTTGTAGATATTACTACAAGAAATTGTGATGTTATAGTGACAAAAGAAGCATAAGACTCGTTTACCCCCTTTCAAGTGCATAAATAAGTATGATTTAAATTCTGGCGCTTGTTTCCGACTGTCACCCTAGAAACTCCTTATTCAAACCCTATTAGAACACATCTCCCTAAATTACATTGCCTCCTGACTACTTCACCATAGTCATTTGAATAATGTGAATATTCTATATCGTTTCGCCATTGCTCTCTCGAGTCCTAATGGGTCACAACTAATTTCAACAAGTTGTATGGCCAATAGAAAATGTAAATTACGCCTAAAAGAATACTCATCACATTAAGCAATAAAAATCAATTTCGTAGCATTAATGATCTTACAGATCTAACCTAACAAACACGAGAAAAGTATTAGAAATCTACTCACTACACATGTTGAACAAAATAGAAAACTTCATTTAATCCAAACAATTTTATCAATATGTGTTTATAATAGAAATCAAACAATATTAAACTCGATACTTAGTTTTTGCTCTCTAAAAAAAGAGGCAAATTCCAAGGACAAAATCTTCCACAATGCTGCACAAGATGTTGAAGTAAAGCCCTTATAAATTCTCTCAAATTCCCCTCTCAAAACTCTTCAGAACAAGTGAAATAATCTAAATCAAGCTCCTATCTATGACCTCTTCGCATTCTTAGAGAATTCCAGAACTTAGAAATGTCAAAAAGTGCCTCTCCGACCATCCAAATTTGTCAAATAACTCACGAGGGCGTGCTGAAACTGCACAGGACGGTTATAGTGCCTAGGCACCACCTTCTCGGGTTCTCTGGGATTTTATGGGGAATAGGCGCCAGTCTACCGATTTACCCTGTTCTCTATTTTGCCTCCGCTTCGCTTCGTTTCAACTCCAATTCACTCCATGTTTCTTATCAGTTATACCTACAAGAAAACATGAAAATACCCATTTTTTTAAGTACAATTTCATTCAAAAATAGGTATTAAATGCAAAGAAAATTAAGCATTCTAAAAGACATATCAGTCACACAATCTCATCTCTCCCAACAACTACCTTTAACATCAGTCCACAAAACACCACTCCCCATCTCAGCCAACCTAAGACAGTTAATCCACCTCTCAATCCTCATGTTTGTTCTGCAATTCAACAATCTTATTCCTTCTCCAATGCACAAATAGCACAATGTGGTAACCCAGGCTCAACCTAGAAATTTAAAACCCATGAGAATTGTTTAGCTTCAACATAGCACTTACACTCAGATTGAGCCAAATACCTACAGCCAAGCGGTTCAATATTCTCAGTGACGCAAAGCCTGTTCTGATGAATTCATGGCTCTACAACAATAAGGCACTAGGAAACTCGTATCACCACCTGAAAATCAAAACATTTTAGGATGTAAGTGGACATTTAAAATTAAGTGTCACATTGATGGAACCATAGTAAGACACAAAGATGGCTTGGTTACTCAATGATACTCACAACAGTAAGGAATCGATTACTAGGAGACCTTTAGTCACGTGACAAATTTTCCCACCATCAGATTATTCTATAATTAGACATATCAAATGTTTCCTTACATTAGAAGTTAAATGACAAAAACAACCATCGGGATTTGCATATACTCATTACTCTCACTATGCATGTAAGTTACAAAAGGCTATATATGATCTCAAGCAAGCGCAACACCAATGTCACTCAACTTTCTGCATTTTTTTTATGTTTACAAAAATTTATCTTAAGTTCCTTTATTGATTTATTGTCACAACAACATATGCATTTCTTTACTGGTGTGCTAGACGATATTCTAATAACATGTAACTGTAGTCATACCATTACTAAGATAATTGACAATTTGTGAATTCAATTTAATTTAAAACTGTTGGGTTCCATCTCTCATTCCCTTCAACTGAACATTCAAAAAATACCCAAAGGATATTTTTTAAATCAAACACAGTATTTAAATGAACTTATTCATAAAACAAACATGCAAAATGTAAAATCCGTAACGACTCCTCTATCTACTACTTAATAGAGAATTATCAAATCAAGCATGTCTATGAAGGATCCCAATTTGTACAAATAGCCATTGGATCTCTTCAGTATTCAACTGTTACTCGCCCGGATATCATGTTCTTTGTTAATTATCTTAGCCAATATATGTATAATCCCACCATCACACAATTTCAACAACTAAAATGGCTTCTCGAGTATTAAAAAGAAAGACTTAATTATGGTCTTCCTATAACATCTAGTGATTTGTGCTTAAGTGCATGTGCAGACTTCGACTGAGCAAGTGACCACCGAGATAAAAAATTCACTACTAGTTTATGTGTTTACATAAGACCAAATCTGTTACCTTGGTCAGCGAAAAAACAAACTATTGTTGCTAGATCTTCCACAGAAGCCGAATATAGGGCCCTTGCGACCACTACTACAGAAATACTTTAGCTCATACAACTTATAGAGTAAGTGATGAATCAAAAATTACATCCCACGACAATCTACAGTGACAGCACTTCGGCAATAGCTTTAGCTCATAAAGCCGTTTTCCATGCTAGGACAAAGCATGTTGAAGTGAATTACCACTTCATACGTGATCATCTGAAACTAGAGCACATTACATCTCCCCGATTGCCTAGCCACTTATCTCACAACGTTCAACATCGCCTAAAAGCCATCATTGACAACAATCAATACTCATTTTATTGGTCAAATTACATTTTCCTTCTAACTGAAAAGACCATAAGGTCGAAAAATCATTGGTCTCTGTATCATTACTTTAACATTCATAAGGTCCAAAAATCTATCTCCATCAGCCGAATACTGAATCACAGAATAAATCCATACTCATGTTTCAGCAATCAATTAGCTGATTTAAACCCATCTTTAATCTCCAGAAATCAAATGAATCAAATTCATTTCTAACAACCAAAATAAAATCACAGTAAGAAATAAACATAGCAGCATAATACATCCGAGTCGCAGCAACTGAACATTCAAATCTTATATTTCCTGTTTTGATTGCACCTTAATCGACTCCCCCAACTATTAATAATCACATCATCACCTCCTCCCAACCTCTACTTTTGCCTGTAAGCAATATAATTCGCCAGACAAACCAAAGGCGCCGCCTTTGCCGCATCAAAACCTTCAAGCTGCAATCTTGCATCCCGAAGCAACTCCTCTGCAAACTCCCTCGACCTCTCCAACCCCACCAACTTCGGATACGTCGTCTTATCGCTCGCCAAATCCTTTCCGGCCGTCTTCCCCAATTCCTCCGACGATTTCGTCGCATCAAGTATATCGTCCACCACCTGAAACAACAGCCCAATGCACCTCGCATACCTTCTCAGCCTCTCAACCTCCTCCTCCACCCCGCCGCCGATTATCGCCCCCATAACAACCGCAGCCTCCAGCAAAACCGCCGTCTTGTGAACGTGTATGTATTCGAGCGTCTCAACTCCGACGAGTTTCTCGACTCCGGTGGACTCGAGGTCGACGATTTGCCCGGCAACGAGGCCTTGCACACCGGTGCAACGGGCAAGCTCTGCCACAGCGCGGACCACGAGAGCAGGGGATATGGAGCAGGAGGAATGAGAGAGGTGGTGGAAGGCTAAGGCGAGGAGTGCATCGCCGGCAAGTATGGCGATGGATTCGCCGAACATGCGATGGGAGGTCAGCTTTCCGCGGCGGAAGTCGTCGTTGTCCATACAGGGGAGGTCGTCGTGAATGAGCGACATGGTGTGGATCATTTCCACTGCGCAGGCTGCAGGCAAAGCAAGCTTTTCTTCGCCGCCGACGAGTTCGCAGGCGGCAATGCAGAGCGCCGGTCGGATGCGCTTGCCGCCGGCGAGGAGGGAATAGCGCATGGCTTCGTTGATGCGGTCCGGGTATACGAGAGGTACCGCTAAATCAAGGGCTTGGTTTACAACTGCGGCTTTCGATAGCATATAGGACTTGAAGTCGAATTTCAGCTGGGCGGTGGGAATGGAAGCGTTGATTTCCGCAGCCGGTTGAAAGGTCGGAGCTTTGGCAGGGGAGCTGCGGCAGAGGGTGTTGGCGTCGGTTGTAGGAGGCGGTTGAGCGGATCGGGAAGGGGGGAGGAAGTTTCTGGAAACTGTGGGGTTGATGCTGAACGATATGCGAAGGAATGAAGCCATGCGAGATGGGAGAGGACGGAGGGGCTGGAATATGAACTCTGAAGCTGCTTCAACAGAGCGTTGTATTATGGACAATACAGCGGATTGATTTGTTATTTTATAGGCGGGTAAATGGACCAGTGCACGATGAAGGTGTGAGGAATGGTACGGTAGAAGAACAGCGTACAGCGAAATTGGAGGAAACGAAAATTTGGCACGTACTAATTTTGTTTATTGATGAAACGGGGAAAGAGAAGGGAAAGGACGGCGGATAAACAGTGAGGGGAAGGATCGGACGGCAGGAAAGGGAAAGGAGGGGGAAGTTTCAAAATATGCGCTGAGAAGCACGTGTCAACAGGAAAATGATTGTTAGAGACTCCTTAGGATTTAATGAATCCTTATTTATCAAATTCATGTTCTACGGAGAAGCTACGTGAGTCACGACAAAACAAATCCCTGAAATTGGCCTGCAAAATATTAAAACTTTAAATTTATATTTATGTTAGGTAAGATTTAGATTTACTTTAAATTTATGATTAAATTATATTAAAAATATGTTAACAAACACTCTCTTGATATAACTTTAATACTTAAATTTTAACATGTAAAAATAAATTTATAAACTTTTTTTTATATTAAGATAATTCCTTTTTTAGAGATAAAGTGAGGATCACACTCAAATTTATTGAAAAGAAACCAATGAGTTACAATATGAAAACTCAAATTACAGCTCACTCAAATAGAAAATATACACGCTAAAATAAACAGCACAATCAAACAAACTAACAATAGCAGCACTAGCAAGAAGAGTAAAGACTAAACATCAAGTCTACTCTACTGGCAACAGCAACAACACAGCACTATCAATGTCAACATCAAAATTTGAAGATCTTATGGCTGCAAAAAACAAATAATAAAAAATCACATGAACCGGAGAAACAAACTAAAAAAAACTAGGAAACAAAAAAATGAATAAAAGGATAATAAAACAAAACCCACAACCTATCACAGTAATCAGTAAAGAACAAAATGGAATGCAAGCTTATAGAAAAAGGCAAGCACAATATAGAAACCAACAGCAAGAGCTCCAAACAACAAATTAGAATCCCATAGAAACACCGAGCACTATCAATAAGTACCAATCCACAGAATTTGGAAAAGCCAACACTAAAAGATTCTTATAATCAACAATACGGGCATCACTATTAAGCATTCTAGCGTTCCAAGCAAGTAATTTTGGAAAAAAAAAAACATAAAACCAAAACAAGAAAACCAAAAAACCAAAATTACTTGCTTTTTCCTCTCCTAGATCGAGACTAGGCACGAATGGAAGGGATGGGATTCCTATGATGAGCAATATTTCTGATATATGTATCATGAACAATAGGAGCAAAAAAACCATGATTAATAGTCTCAAAAGACTGAATAGGAATAGAATTATTATTAATAATCTCAACTTGTTGAATAAGAGAAATAAGATCACTAGAACAGTGATTATAAGGAATCAAATCACTACCAAGATTACTATTGACCACATGAACTTCAGAATTAATAATATTTACATAAGAAATATCTATAATATCTAAAATAGGCAAAACTCAGACAGTATTACCATTCTCTAGCATATCATTGATATTATAAATCATATCAACAGGGATGTTTAGATCAGGAACAACAATACTAAAATCATTTAGAATATTAAAAGCATGCTTAAAAGAACCACCAACAATGCCAACATTAATATTATTAGTAATATTATTCCTCAAATTCAATGTCTGTAAAGAACGAGCAGTAATAACAGATTTACTTCTATTTTTATTAAAGCCATTTTAACGAAAATTTTGATTATTATTTCTTCCTCTAAAATAGAAACAAGAGATTTAATATGCTAAGAATTAGATTTAGGAGAATTCATAGGATTACGAAAAAGCTTGGACATTACTGTGTAAGGAGAAGGTCTCCATTCATTTAAAACAAAAAAAAATCTTTCTTTTCCTTTCACAAATAAAATAATAGAATCGAGAAGAGAAGAGTTCACATTAATTTGAATATTGGCTCGACCAAAATTAAGCCTAATTCTTTTAGAAATTAAAGGATCCATGGCAAGAGAGATACCAATCTTACTAACTTTTGAAATATCATACTCTGGACAAAAAAGTAAATGAAGATTAAGAAGTTTTACCCAAATAGGGATTTTCTTAAAATCGTCACTTGTAGGTTTAAAGTCATGAGTCCAATGTTTAAAAAAGAAAGGATTCCCACCAATCCAGAAATAACCATTTCAAAATTTTCATGAGAGACAAATTTAAAGAGAAAGAAACATTTGGTTGATGAAATAAGTTCAACATATCCCTTTAGTTTCTATATATTACCAATAGATTGCAATAGGCTATCGTAAAAAGGTCTTTTACCAAGTGCATAAGCTAAAAGAGTGAGATTCCATCTCATTGAACGTTCCACAACTTCAAGGTCCAAGAAAGATGTCTTCTATGCATGACAAATAAGAAAGATGAAAAACAAAAAGTAGAAGTTTGAGAGGCTACAAGCTTTTTCCAATTTAAGGAATGGGCAGCCCCATGGAGTGAACAAGAAGAAAAAGATGAAGATGGGGGGATAAAAAAATAAAATCCATCACAGAAAGAACAAAAAAATGGGCAAAGCCCCAAAAAGGACAAGAAAATACAGATAGCTAATTAGCAGTGAAAATCCAAGTAAGCTTCCCAAGCAAAAGGGAAGAGGAAGGAACTTCCGAGCAGAAACTATAGTGTCTACAAATGTCGTCAGAATGCTAGAAGATAAGAAGCCCTAACTCATCTCTTGTGGAGAGAAGTCACTTGACAAAACCAATAAAACACCCAATAGTGGTCGAAATAACTGTAAAAGGAAACAAAATAAAAGAATAGGATGAAGAAAGAGCTCTTATAAAACTTTCCTAAGAAAGGTAAGGTATAACTTTCTAGCTACGATGATCATAAGCATAGGTCCTTGGTAGTCAACGAAGGAAGGGGTTGGTTGTGGTCGGCATCTATATATGTCATAAGTTATCAACTGGCCACAAATATAGGCGTAACATGTAACATTCGTATTTGGGATATGACACTTACAAGCAAGGTTGCCGATGACAGGAGGTTGGTGGTGAGAAGTAGGGACGACCAGTAGTAGTTAATGGTGGCTAATAGGTGGTGCGCAATAATGGTCGGTGGCTATCGAGGCTAGAAGTTTTCTTTGAGTCTTCAGATGTAACGAGCTCTAGAATTCTTCTTCTTCTCCTTCTCCCTCAATTGAAGAGATGAGGTCTATTTATAGTCTCTATGGTAGTGCAATTTTTGTCATGTGGAGCATAATTTACCCAACTGCCTGATCAAATCCCCTTGAGCATAGATTTTTTAAACAATTTGAGTATTATAATGACATTGGAATTGAGTGATCATAAGCTCGTTAGGTTCTTCTCGTTGAGACGCTCAATTTGACTGATATACCAATATGAAGTTCATTTTACTATCTAACTGATGGTTCAAAACCTTCAAATATGATTCAATGACTTGATCTAGATATGAGAATAACTTCCCCAACCCTCTGATCGAAAAACCCATAATAATACCCTTGATCATAAAGATTTTTTAACAATTTGAGTGTCATAATGACATTGAAATTAAGCGATCTTAAGCTCATTAGATTCTTTTCTTTGAGACGCTCGATTTTCTTATAAATAAGGCAAACATAAAGCTCGTTTGACTATTTAATTGATAGTCCAAGACTTCCAAATATGATCGATGACTAGATCTAGATTTGATTGGAGTCTAACTAATCCAATTCTGGCATCATTGAGTTGTCTTGTCAAGACGACCAGTTTTGCTGTAAATTTACTGAGAAATCCATTTTTGAATTTACAAGTCGCTTTCATTATTTCTTATTTAAAAAAACAACTTTTTGGAAGATTTATTCTGAATAAAGCCACATTTATCAAAAATCTAAGAGACTAGATTAGTATAATGATTAAACAATCTACGTTTATTAAGAACATGCAAAGCTATTCAAGGATGAAATGCTTACACTCTCAATCACAATACAATGTTATTATATTCCATATAATCTTATGAATTTTATTATTAACACCATTGTTATGAAGCAAATCGGATGTTGATCTAAATATAATCCTTCTAAAAGCCAAATAAATTTAAAAAAAAAATACATAATATATTTTCATATATATCTTATTTGCACCCACAGACTCTTAAAAATTCTAGATAATTCTTATTGTAATTATATTTATTTATATAGCACCGAAATTTAAATTTTTATATTTTCATGTTACATAAAAATAACAAATTTACTAATTTTAAAAATGTAAATTTTACATACATAAAATACATAAAAATTATATTGCACGTTAATCTTCCGTTAAGTAAAATTAAATATAATTATTGGATATAACTAGTTTATAATATTTACTTTAAATTAGAATAATTTATTAATTATTATTTAGCTTATTTGATGGAATTTAATTAATAATAATAAACTCATTAATACATCAACCTATTTCTTTGATATTATTAACAATATACACTTTCTTAAATACAGAAAATACACAAAAAATAAAAACTAATATAAGAATATAGAGTAAATAATTTAATTAAAAATTAAAGGATCATTAAATTAAAATCAAGCTCCTCACAATGCATGTTAAGTCCGGGCATTTACATGCATAGCACATAATACTAGTCTATTTACACATCGCGCACACCAACTTTTTATATTCGCACACAACACTCGAATTTTTAATATCACGTCAAAAATAGCACTATTATCACTTTATAAGAAAATGAAACAACAGAGAAAAAATAACAAAGTACTCTGTATATATATATAAATATAAAAATGTAGGTGTGGGATATGTAAATATATAAAAATTGCGTGCTCTCTATGTAACTTCACCTTATATATATATTACGTTATTTTCTTTTGCATATATTTGATTCAGGTTCGAATTCAACACTCTGCATCTATTTTTCTCAATTAACTTTAACAAGTAATTTTTTAACGGAACACGAGCAAAGATATTTAAATCGAGCCGAACACGAACCACTGTTCACGAGCCAATTTCGAACGCGTGCCGATTTCGAACTCAAGCAATTTCGAACGAGCCGAACACGATCCAAGTTTGACCTCGCTCAAGCTCGGCTTGATTACAACCCTAAAACAAACAACCAATAAAAATAAATAAATAAAAAATAAAATCAACCTTAGCCGATTTAGAAGTAGGCATACAGAAGTTAAAACTACAAGACCAATTCAGGCAAAACTAAAAAAGGGGAGGGGGGTTAATTTGTAATTTGCATACATACCACTCAATTCCTATGAAATTACATATCTATACCTAATTTTCTTTTTTATATTTATGCAACCTAAATATTCCTTATCATATAAAAAATTTCACCAATATAACTTCTAAAATGTGAAATACACACCATTTTCATGTATGGGCAAGGTTGTATATAGGAAAAAATGAAAGTTAGGTGCGAGATATGTAAATACATAGGAATTGAGTAGTATGTGCATAAATCTTCCAAAAATGATGACTCGGAGTGAATAATATCCATAAAAATAAATTAAAAATTTTTTATATCACACTAATAAACACAAGGAATATTTACATACATACCATTCAATTCTTATGCATTTTGCGACACCTAAATTTCAAATTTTTACATATATGCCGTTTTACTTTTTCGTGATATTAAAGATTTTGGGTGTTATAAATGTAAAGAGCAAAGTTTAGGTTCTAGATATGTAAACTAGTAAGAATTGAGCTCTAGGTATGTAAATGCCCCCTAAAGACGGAAACAATTTGCGTGTGATAGATGTACGCAACGCTGTGTGCGATATGGGGGTTATATCGAGGGTACAAGAGGGTTACATCCACGGTATAACCTCTTGTAACCTCCCTGTAACTTTCTGTAACCAAAGTGTTATTTTAGGGTACAGGTAGGTTACAGAAGGTTACAGGGAGGTTACAAGGGCTTATACCGCGGATGTAACTCCTTTGTACCCTCGGTATAACCCAATATCGCAAGCAGCGCTGCGTACGTCTATCGCGCGCAATTTTTTTCCCCTAAAGACAGCTTGAATAAAAAATCAAGATATTACAATTATACCATGAAAATTAAATCTAGCACCTCATACCACATTAAAACAATTAAATGGAAAAAACTTAATGAAGAAATTCACACAAATACCACACATATTTTGACATATTTATAGATCTAACACTTGAACTCTGATATTTACTATATAATACACTTAAAATAGAACTGAAGATATTAGGCAAGATACTAATGAAACAGCTTCAAAGAACAGAAGTGATATCAGCGAATCTTCCATAATTGCTTTTGGCCTCCCATGAATCAGATAAATATGAAGCCAGTTTACCTGGGATTGTGGAGGCCGATCTATCAAATTCCAAAACAATAGTGGCATTTACATATATACCAACAAGATTCTCATGTATTTACATAACTCACACCTAAACTTTTATATTTATACACATATCACATCAAATCTACCACAATCAACACTTTTTAAAACTAAAAAACACATTTTTATCCATAGGCACAAACAGCCAAAATCCCCATCGCCAACTTTAATGTTCTAAGAATTAGATACTGTAAATTAGTTTATAAGGATGCCAAGGAATAAAAGAAACAGATTATGATGGACAAATATGATAAGAAACAGATAATATATTGGACAAAGCTACTCTAAACCATTAAAGGATGAACATAACAAGCGTAAATATGAGGAATAACAGAAAACTAAGAGCCAACAATTCAATATTGCAACGAACCAGCAACCAAGTTAAAATAAATCACAGAAGTGGGAAGAACAATAAAAATAAAACGATAAGCACAGATCCTGTAAGACATCTTTCCTATAAGGCTAGCAAACCCAAAATACAAACAAGTATTGACAGAAATATGTAAATGGAACAAAAGTTAGAAAGCTTGCCATATATATATTACAGTGGCATCAATTAGTATTAGTATAAAAGAAACAAAATTCAGGGGCTCGAGCATAGGCAAAGCGGTATATGTATGTAAAAATCAAAGTTTTGGCGTTAGATATGTAAATACAAGGGAGCTGGGTGCTGTGTATGTAAATCTTCCAAATCAATACAATGAGCGTTTTATGAAGGTATTTATAAGAAGAAAAAAATACCAACAATTAATTATTACATTTAAAAGGATCAGATAAATACCCAATGATCTTTTTATATATAACTATTTCTATTTGAAATTCAATTTATCATAAAACTAAATCGCGGAAAAGAAAAGAAAAAGAAAATAAAATGAAAAAAAAAATCAAGCTTTTCTGAAATAAAAGCAACGCTGCAGCTTACACATCTTGAATCAGGTAGGAATCAAAAACTTAATTAGATCTCCCAAAGTAATTTATGTGCAAAAAAATCCTTGCTTTTGCAGGATACCAAATAGGAAATGCAAAGCTAATAAAAAATCACTTGTTAATAATTGCCCAAGAATGAGATTATTTTTGCAATGTTATAAGATGCAAAACTTCAGCTTTTATGCCAGCAGATCCAAAACTACAAATATTGGTGCTTGTTCTTCATGTAGAAACCTTGTGTTTGAATATGGAAATGTTTCTAAATGAAGTGGCAATCACAAAATCATATAGAAAACCAAAGTTTTCATCTTTATTGCCTCAAAGATTACTAGAATTAAAAATAAAAATAAAAATAAAAATGAATAAACTGGAGCCTTTCGAAGTATGGTCAAGTCAGAGCTTCTCTGTACACTAGAGAGCTCTAATCCTTCAACATATTGAAAAGGCAAAGGAAGAATAAAGTGTACCTTAAGTGGTGAAGGAAGTACTGGAGGGAGATAAACTACCCCATAGCATTCTCCGACTATCTCTGCTGCTTAGATGAAGAAGAAGACGCCTGCTCTGATGCTTCTTCTGGGACCCTAAGTTCAATCAATCCCATCAAAAATTGTAGCATTCCGAAGCAGAAATCCTGCGGCGGTTGTTGGAACCGCTGAATATTCGATTCCACCTGGAATCGATTCGAGGAGATCATCGATTCCGGTATATGAAAAGAACGAGTAGAGATATTTCTTCTCCTTTGCTTCAGCCGCTTTAGGGTTTGGCTGGATGCCTGGTCGGGGAAATGGAATCAAGTGGCCAGAAATAATATTTTGGCGATGCAAACACTGATCAGATTGATGGTGCGTTTGCGGCGTTTGCAGTGCTCCACCTTGATTTTTTCAGTAAAATTTAATTTTGCATATATATATTGCATTTTGGAAAATTTACAGGTCTGTGGGTAGGTTTCAAGTCTGACCCAAAATTGAGCCTACTCAAAACTGGTTGATCCAAACTCGACTTAAATAATAAATGGGTCAGAAAATCTGATCCGAACCCAAGTCGTGTTCATTGACCCTTGCAACCCATTTAACATAGGGCATAACAACAATTCAGATTGAATTCTGGTTGATTTCGAGTCAATTTCATCTTGGTGGGTTTAGTACAATTAAATTTCAGGTAAGATGGTTAGCTTTGAGTCAATATACGGTTGGCGGGTCAAACCGAACCATCTAAAAAAATTGATTGATTAGGATTTCTAACTCGAATCCCGAACAAGAGCCAAAAAATTATTTAGATCTATCCAAAATTGGAATTTTCGAATCGAGTTTAGGGGTGTGTCAAGTCAGTTTTTGACACCCTTATGCTTTATTCTATTCGATCAAGCAAAGTGCAATTGTCAACTAGGCTTCTTCGCCCGTGTCATTCCTACTAAGAGTCTCTATTCACCAAATATAAATGTTATCTTTAATAAATTTTAATTATGAACAAACAAATCTAAATGTTGCTATAAATGACATCTCCACTTTAGAACAAAATAATTTTGAAGGAGGCACATTGCATGTCTCAGTTCAGAAAACTCAAGAGCAACCTAAGCCTACTACACTAGTGGCCTGTCATAAGATCACCAATAACTCTCAAATCAACTAAAATTTATGCTCCCTCACATTATTACTTGTTTATGAATGTGATTGGCTAAAACGGTGCATGCAAGTGCACATGTGATGCAATGAATACAAGATGAGTAAAATATCATGCTAATGAAGATCACAATTGAAATTTTTACAAGTTAAATATTAATATAAATTATCTATATGTTTTTAGTCAATTGTTTAGCAATTTAAACTCACTTTAACTTAAGGATTTAAGAATAAAATATATATATATTTCTTAATATGATTAAGACAATTGGGAATATGGCCAACGACTATGAAGTCCGATGGTTGATGGTATCTGAAGACTATATAAGTTGGCTGTTACTCGTTGGGTTTTCTCTCCAGAACATACTCTGAAATTTCACCTATCATTCACCCCCACCCCTTTTTGTTCTTTAGGTGCATAACTTCCATAATCATCTGATCGGACGATTCATATTGATCTCTCTTGATCATATGTATTTTTTAAAGATTTTAGTGCCTTAATGATCTTAGAATTGAACAATTCTAAGCTTGTTGAATTTTTCTCATCAAGACGCTCGAATTGACTACAAACATATCAAATTTAAAGTTCATTTGATCATTCAATTAATAATTTAAAATCTCTAATTATGCTCCAATGATTTGATCCGAGCTTAATGAGATTCGGATTGACGAGTTTTAGGATCGTTGGGTTTATTTTTCTTAAATGTTAAATTTGATATTAAATTTGATGAAATCAAATTATCAAATTATGAATGGTCATGAATTTAGAATTAAAAAGTTTAATTAAAAATATGTAGAGATTCATAAAAACTTAGTGGGGGCAAATCAATAACTAAATTTAATGAGCAATAAATAATAATATTTTGACATCATTGGAATTGCCTATCGGAATTTTGTTCCTCCAAATTAGAGCCGGGAGAAATAAATGAGCATGTGCAGCATTTATGAGCCCACTTAATTTTGTCATGAAAATGTATTGAACGTATCATCACTTGCATGGGAGCTCATTAAATGTGCTCCCTGATACACAAGACATTATTCGTGCAAGAATGAAATGAGCAATATAAAATATATATTTTTTAATTATATTTTTTTCCAATAAAATAATTAATTATTTTGTTACTTGTACCATAATTTATGATAGTTAACAATTTTATTTTGAGTCGAGTTCGGATCAATTGGAAATTAGCTCAAATAAAATTAGATCTAAAATTTTAACTTGTAATTCAGCTAGTTTATTTCAATTCGCTCTAGATTCGAGTTAAAATTTGAATTAATTTTCGACTGATTATCGATCTAAGGGCTAAATTTGTTGAATTCGCAACTCTAACATCACTATGGCTATTATTGAACCGATCTAGAGCTGAGTTGGGGTCGGCTCAAAAAACTTCGATTCAAAATTTTAGCTCGTAATCTGGCTTATTTATTTCGATCTGATCTTGATCTGAGCTAAAATTCAAATCTACCTCAATTTGATAATTAAAGGAATGCTATGTTCCTTAAAAATATATTAATATTTCATAATTTATAGTTTAAATTTTATTTTAATGTAAAAAAGAGTTTTATAAATTCCATCAAGTTGAAATGATATATTATAATGACATATTGCAGATTTTATAATTTTTTTAAAAAAAAGATTTGACCTTTTGGTTGAACAAATTTTATAAGAGACAAGTCCGTTGCACTTAATTTTTTGTCAGACCGCAATATGTTTAAAAAATATTTTAATGGGCTTAAAAATAATAGAAACTAATAATAACCCCACGAACGGTAAATTCTGATAAGTATCACTTTTATATAATTAGCACGATCTAAACTGCATATGTAGATACATGCATGCATATGAACATACATACATATGTATATATATATATACATATGTATATATATATATATAGATAGATATAGACACACACACACACACATACATATATATATATATATATATATAAAGGAATGGTCGGAGGCTATTATATGAGACCCGGTCATTCCCGATGCACCTAAGAATTCGAGTACCACACTCTACGCTTAGGGGGGAATCGAACCCCAGACCAGAGTAGACTTACAACTGACAAACAAATGCCCGATCCACTGATCTGAGTACACGACATGTGTGTAGGGTAAAAGTTAAGTATATATGGAGTGTTTATTTCTAATATCTAAGGTTTAGTATTTACTTGTATAAAATTTAAATATTTGTTATCACTAATGTTAATTTTTTTTTCATTAAAATTAATATATAATTATTCATGTATATATGTTGATATGTTATAGATATAATACTAAAATATCATTCACACGCACAAAATAACAACAAGAAGAATTGTGTCATATTCAATGTTATATTTTTTTTATCTAATTCTAACAAATTAAGATCATATTCTAGACATCATGCCCAAATCTTTTTAGGTCTATCTCTATCATTCTTAGCATAAGATGGTTGAAGTATAATGTGATCAAACCATCTAAGACAACTCCCTCTAATCCTGTTAGTCACTAAAACTACTCCAATTCTTCTTGGGATATATTTGTTTCATATTTTGTCTTTTGTAAAACCACTCATCCACCTGATCGTTCGCATCTCAGCAAAACTTAACTTAATGTTATGCTTCTCTTCTTCAGGCCAAAGTTCCGCATCATTGTTGGTCCGACAATCATCTTATAAAATTTCCATGTAATTCTAAGTAATAGTTTTCTATAACATGATAGAGCCGATGCATTCCACCACTTTATATTCTCATCTATATCGCCATCACTTTGAACAATAGACCCGAAAAATCTAAAAATTTTCACTCCTTTTATTGACTTAATCACTCATTATTACAACACCGCTATTATTACTAAAATCACATTCCGTGCATTTAGATTTAGATCTACTCATCAAATGAAAGCATTTAAACTATTACTAAAATATTAAATATTTATATGAAATGTTAGATTTTAATTATTATGTATTTATATATCACACATCACACATCACATAGGCAAATTTCAATTGTCATATATATATATATCGTCTTATTTATACAAATATGAAAATGTGCATTTTATGTTATTAAAATTAAAATAAAGGTAACTTTCAGTTTATGTGGGAGATTTTCGTTATATAGAGCAATAATGTAAATACAAAGGAATTGGAAGGTATGTATGTAAATGGCACAAACTTTTAAAGGGACATATATAAAGTATAATTTAGAAGGTTGTACTTGTAAAATTAAATCATATGATATGAAAAGATAAATAAAATTTGAAGGGAGCATGTTGTCACGGACAAATAGTTCCACATCAGCTAGGTGTAGGGCCGAAAAAGGGCCAAAAAATAATATTTAAGCCCTGGGCTGTCCACCACCCACAAGGGCTCTTCATTGGATGGAGGAGAATATCACGGACAAATAGTCCCACATCAGCTAGATGTAGGACAACGGACAAATAGTCCCACATCAGCTAGGTGTAGGACAGAAAAACAGTATTTAAGTCCTAGGTTGCCCACCACCCACAATGACTCTTCTGGGAGGTGACAATGTGCTCCCTAATGAGGTCATGTCTATCCTTAAAACTTGCCTCTTGCTCACATAGGCTTGATTGGTTTCAGAGAAAAATAAAGGAAGATTTACATACATATCACTCAATTTTTATGTAAATAGTATTTAAGTCCTGGGTTGCCCACCACCCACAATGGCTCTTCTGGGAGGTGACAATGTGCTCCCTAATGAGGTCATGTCTATCCTTAAAACTTGCCTCTTGCTCACATAGGCTTGATTGGTTTCAGAGAAAAATAAAGGAAGATTTACATACATATCACTCAATTTTTATGTAATTACATATCTAACAGCTAAACTTCAGTTTTTACATACGTGCCACCTTTCGTGCGCATGAAAAGATGCATTTTGCTTTTTAACAAGTACAAAATGTTGATACATTTATATGTTATAAAAGATTTAAGTGATATGGATGTAAAATTAAGGTGTTAGATACGTAAATAGGCCATATACTAAATATATAAAACAAAGGAAAATTATTGCTCTATTTAAACTTTATACACTTCAAGGAGGATTTAGCAATGAATTTTCTTTTAGAGTTATTAATGATTATTAGAGTGCATGACTTATGATTGTTATTATTGTTATTACTATTATTTCACCTTCGATTTTGTCTAAAATATTACTATACCAGCTATTATAAAGCGAATGTTTTTATGATAGTTACCTCGATAAAATTATCGCCCTATATATTTGCACGAATCC